AGCCAGGAATACCAAAAGGTGGGGGTCACCGGGAATCATTTTAGAAGCTGTCTCTCTGAGAAATTTTCTTAGACATTGGCCCACAAGACATACAATACACTGTATGTGTAACCAAATGTCATGTTTCTGCAAACACCAGATCACCAAATATTTATTGAACACCTTCTATATAGCAGGCCCTATGGTAGGTGCAGGGGATATAATGATGGGTGAGGCACACTTTCTGCCCTTAAGGAGTTCATAGCAGAATGAAGGAGGCCAACAACTAAAGGAGAGTTAGCCATTCTCTATTCTCTTCCCCTTCTATAATATCTATCATTTTATTTTGCAAATATTCATTTAAATCTCTGGTTCTCTGTGAGACTATAATGTTCCTAAGAAAAGGTACCATGTCTGTTTCATCTTCTGGCTCCCTGTTTTTTCACATGGCCTTACTCACAGGAATCGTTCAATAATATAACACTTTGAACATAGAAAGCAGACATGGTCAATAATCTGTTAGCCATCCACATCTTAGTATGAATTAATGCCCCCAATCTTTTGAGAAATAATCATTAACAGGGGAAGAAGTACTTGGCAGCTGGATAGAAGTGATACTGAAGGACTGCATAAAGAGAAAGAAGTCTCATACCGTTAAAGAAGATAAATGCTAACTCTAGTTTTGTCAAGGCCCGATTTAGCGGCCCCATTCTTACCACCTGCCCCCCACACCTCCACCACCAGACAATGAGGAAGTTATATTGTTTTATGTTTCCAGGTCTTTTCTTCTCTAGGTTTTACATGTTGTTTAACACAGGCAGTAATTATATGCCATAATTCCAACAGTGACAGAATTCCATTTCTCTCACATAATTGCATGAATGTGAACTCTCTGTAATTACTGTGTTTAATTAGAAAATGAGATGCAACTAATTAGGCCAGGTGATAAAAACAACTGTGAACATTTCTTTCAAATTTACCTTTATCATTAAATTCACTCAGACGAAGCTCCAGTGAACCATAGAAACTTTTTATAAATGTCACTGGCACCAGTCTAAATGCACGTATTGGCAGAGTGAGTCATAACTGTGGAAGACTTAGAAAGAACAACGTCGTCTTTCTCATAAACTTAAGTTTAATTGGTATCTTTGGCCAGTTTAATTTGGAAAGGTCAAATATGGTTCACACAGTTAATGCTTAACGTGGACTTCAAAAAATATTCTCAGAGGACCCTGGGGTGGCTCCGTCGACTGAGCATCTGACTCTTGATTTTGGCTCAGATCGTGGTATCACGGTTTGTGAGATTGAGCCCTGCATTGGGCTCTGCACTGTCAGCAAGGGGTCTGCTTGGGATTCTCTCTCCCTCTCTCTCTGCCCACCTACCCACCCCCCCCCTTCAAAATAAATAAATAAACTTATTTTAAAAAAGTGATCTTGGGGTGCATGGGTGGCTTGGTCGGTTGAGCGTCCGACTTCGGCTCAGGTCATGATCTCACGGTCCGTGAGTTCGAGCCCCGTGTCAGGCTCTTTGCTGACAGCTCAGAGCCTGGAGCCTGTTTCAGATTCTGTATCTCCCTCTCTCTCTGCTCCTCCCCTGTTCATGCTCTGTCTCTCTCTGTCTCAAAAAAAATAAATAAATGTTAAAAAAAAAAAAAGTGATCTTACCTGGAAGCCAAAATAAAAACGGAAAAAAGCAGAGTTATTCTAATGGCACAGGTCTAAGGCAGATGGGTTCAACCCTCCTCAGCCCACAGGATGACAGGCAGGGGCAGACAGGAGCCACTGCAAAGCACAAGTGTCTGCCTAGAAGGGGTGGGGTTTATGAAAGGAAACCTGGCCCTGCAGATCTTTGTGTGCGAAGGAGTAGATAGGCCTTGAGGCTAAGCCACATTTGAGAAAAGGGACCATAAAGATAAGTTATTCTGTTTCACAGCGCAAGAACAGAGGGTACACAGGGATGGACAGGCATAAATGAAAGGAGGAACCAGCAGGATGGTTGTAAGGGGCCAGCACACCAGGGAAACAAGTCTTGCTAAGTTCAGCAGAGTTGAAGCAGAGTTGTTACAGTACTACCTTCTCAGGCCCCTAGTTACCGCGCCCATTTTCTCTACAGGGTGTTACTTTCACGAAAGCCTAGGAAGGCAAGGTGTTTGTGAAGATCACTGAAGGGGCTTGCATGTTTATGGCCTGGGTGGATGTGTCGGGGAAAGGAACAGCATGTGTGGGGCTAAGGTGACCAATACGCAGAATTAATTCAAGGGTTTAGGACAACCAGGGAATGAGTGTCAAGTGCTTAGAACAGTGTCCTGCACGTGGTACAGCTGATATGCGATTGTTTAAATAAGTACATAAATAAATAAATTCTGTAATAAGTCTCCTATTAAGTCCTCCTATTCAGAGGAACTGAATCACTGGAGTAACTAGCAAAGGGTAAGCGGCAGTGTCCTCCAGAGATATACAACCAAATTCATTTATTATGCCTACTGGAGGCCCAAGACTATGATTTCATTGATGATAAATACGAAGAGTATGTTCATCTTGGAATCCTGAGGACCTAGTATAAATATTTGGAACATAGTCAAAATCCAGTGGGAAACTGCTCAAAGGATAAAGGAATTGGTAGATATTCTATCTTTTGAAAACATGTAGTAATTTTTAAAAAATGTTTATTTTTTTTTTCAACGTTTATTTATTTTTGGGACAGAGAGAGACAGAGCATGAATGGGGGAGAGGCAGAGAGAGAGGGAGACACAGAATCGGAAACAGGCTCCAGGCTCCGAGCCATCAGCCCAGAGTCTGACGTGGGGCTCAAACTCACGGACCGCGAGATCGTGACCTGGCTGAAGTCGGATGCTCAACCGACTGCGCCACCCAGGCGCCCCTAAAAAATGTTTAAATTGAAGTATAGCTGACATAGTCAAAAATGTTGGAGCTTTCAACACACATAGCATTATTTTCATTATAGCATCACTAGGATTTTTTTAATTCAAATAAGTTAACATACAGTGTAGTGTAGTATTGGTTTCAGGAGTAGAGCTCAGCGACGCATCAATTACATACAACACCCAGTGCTCATCCCAAAAAGTGCCCTCCTTAATGCCCATCACCATTATCCCCACCCCTCCCCCAGCCTCCTCCCCTCCAGCAACCCTCAGTTTGTTCTCTGTATTTAAGAGTCTCTTATGGTTTGCCTCCCTCTGTTTTTACCTTATTTTTCCTTCCCTTCCCCTATGTTCATCTGTTTTGTATCTTAAATTCCACATATGAGTGAAATCACATATTTATCTTTCTCTGGCTTATTTCACTTAGCATAATACACTCTAGTTCCATCCACATTGTTGCAAATGGCAAGATTTCATTCTTTTTGATTGCCGAATAATATTCCAACATACACACACACACACACACACACACACACACACACACACACACACACACCCCCCACATCTTCTTAATCTATTAGGATATTTTTTAACCTTCCTATTTTTGTCTAGCTCTGAAGAAATTCTTCCAGTCTTAGGAGCACTAGTTGGCCACCCATACTCATGACACTAAACTTAACCAGGACACTGCCCAAACCACTGGCAATGTTTGTAGATCACAAATCAAAAAGTGGTATTTTAGTTCAAACTTCTCTCCCCTGGTAGGTAAGAACTCAGAAAGGGTTTGCATGCAGTTGGTCATAAGCAGTATTTCTGGGTTCAGAGGATGGACTCTATGGCTCTACCTTCAAAATATATCCACAATCCAACCACTGCCACCACCTCCGCTAATACCACACTGACCCCGGCCACCATTAACTGTCCCCAGGATCACTGCAGGGGTCTCCCAACTGGGCTCCTACTTCCACATTTGCCCCACGGTGTCTTCTCACAACACAGCAGCCAGAGAAGCTGGTGAAAATACAAATCAGACTGTGACCCTCCTCTGCTCAAAATATTTTTATCAGTTGGCATTCAATCAGGAAACCAGAAACCACTCTAGATATTTCAGAGTATCAAGTATAGATAGAGATAGAGATAGAGATAGAGATAGAGATAGAGATAGAGATAGAGATAGAGAGAGAGAGAGAGAGAGAGAGAGAGATGTATATATCATATAGATACAGATTATAGAGAATTGATTACAAAGATTACTAACTGCAGCAAGCCACTACTCACTCCCCTTAGGCTGAGGGGAAAATGGTGTAACACTGAACCTCCAATCAGAGCCACCAAAGCGACTGCAGTTGGAGCCGGGCTTCCTGGGCCAGCATTCCCAGCTGCTGTTGCTGTTAACACAGCTGCCTCGTGGGAACGGCTGTCAGGATCCCCAACAGAAAAAGAGGGAAGACTTTCCTTCCGCCCGTCTTCTACCCGTTGGCAGGACTTAACAGGGAGCCAGCAGGCAAGATTTCTGGGAAGTGTAGGTTGTGGCTGTCCCGCCCCAGCAGTGAGAGGAGCATGTGGAAGGAGAGGTGGTGCGGTTGACAGAAAACATGCCCCATGCAGAGCACCAGTTCACTCCCTGAAACCTAGGTTTTTACAAGAGCTTTGAGGTGCCCCCTCAGGCGCCTTCCTTTCTGGCCTCATTCCCTGACACTTGTCATCTTGCTCACTGCACTGCAGCACTTGCTGTTTCCTCTGCCTGGAGTAACCTCACCCCCAGACACGTTCACCTCATGCCCTTGAGGCCTTTATGTAAAAGAAACTTTCTCAGTGATGCTTCCCTGAAAACTAATTTAAAATTGCAAACCCTCCTAACCCTTCACACCCCATATTGTTTTATTTTTCATCAAAGCATTTATCCTTTTCTAACACCTTATACATTACATATGTGCATACGTAATTGTATTTTTTTATTGTTGCATACTATTTAGTTGTCTTTAAATATAGATATTTTATGTCAAATATATATGTTTTTAGGTCTCAATACCTCCCCACCAAAATGTAAGCTCCATGGGGGCTAGGATTTTGTCTGTTTTGTTTAATGATATATTCCCAGTGCACGATAAATTCTTGTTCACTGAATAAACAAACGTAATCATTAGTGGATGCATTTATTATGGGCTGAAAAGGATTAAAGGCTCTAAAAAGCATGAAGGAAGGAAAAGAAACCACCATCGCTATACCTCCTCCCCTGGGAAGCCTCTCTCACCCCACTCAGGCTACCTCAGATGTACCTTCCATGTGCTTCAAATCCTCCTAGCAATTCCCCTACCCCAGAACTTGTCATGCTACGCTGTGATTATCTGTTGATAGATCTGCCTCCTCCACTGAAAGCGTAAGCGCTGTGCCCTACCGAAGCGATGGTGCCCATCTGGGCAACAATGTACATCAGGCACGCAGGGCTCAAAACAGCCGTTGTCAAATGTTCCTGTCAAAAAAGAGAAGAACGCACTTAAAGGCCTCTTGTTATCATTCCTTCCTCTAGTAGTCTGGAAAAATAGAAGAGTCAAAAGCTGTGAGAAACCATAAACTAACTCAGGAAACAGTTTAGTGCAGAGGCAAAGAAAGTCCCTTAGGAATAGTTCTATCATTCTGGGGAAGAGAGGACAGGCAAAATTTATCATGGCTTCAAAAAATATTTTAATCTTTCTATTAGAAGTATTTATGTCTCCCGAAAAGCGTTCATTGAATTATTTTAATAGCTGAATATTAGAGAATAACAAACAAATGTTGAAAAAAAAATCAGGTAATGAAAATCAAAATCATCATAGAAAAGCCACGTGTCTCAAAACATAACAGATTTTACAGGGTTATTCTCAAGTGGTAAAGGCTGTGGGGGTTAGAGCCACAAAAGTACATTAACGAAAGCATCTTTCTAATTTTGTAACCAACTTTAAGAGGAAAGAATTACCTTTAGTATGTGTATTCACCGACGGTAGAATGAGAATTCTTAAAAATCATCCTTGGTTTTTTTTTTTAGAGGTTTCTAATAGATAACTATAAAAATATCCAGTCTTTTTTGAAGAGATTGTGGCTATATCCTAGACTTAAAATACATGTATTTATCTGCTGATAATTCAGGGGTTGGAAGAAGTCATGTCACACACACATACTTAAGCACCAAATTTATCCTAAGTAGTTCTGACTTGGCTTATAGCCTCAGCAGTTTAGAGGCATATGTAGGAGTGTCTTATCTCATCTGGTCTTAAGAAGCAGCCCTGCTCACTGCCTGCGTGAATACCACCCAAGCACATCACACAGGAGAGACTCAGGACTTTGAAGGAAAGGCCTCCTCAGCTTGCCCATCTTCAGCACGAAGCTCATACATGTTGCTTTGTTTTCAGTGGCCTGCTGGTACATTCTGCATCGGGCATCCCTTTCCTCTTCTGCTTAATTAAAAATTAAATCTGACCAATGATGATTTGAAATGCATTATATGCAACAGAAATTCAGTTAATCAGAAACCTGCCTTTTTTACTCTTACTTTTTTATCCCTTTCTCATGGCATAATTGTGCAAAATAATTCCCAACCAGAAAATGACTTCAACCTGCTGCCTGTAATGTGCATTTATTTGCTCACTAGTGTAAGGAAAAAACCGAGCTAAGCCAAGTAAGATACACGCACACGTTCCTGGAAGGATAATTTTAGAACCCGTTTCAAAGCCGACTCTAATTCGAAAATGCCTCTGCCACTTAGAACCACATGGAGATGTTACCAGCCTCACGAAATGTCATCAAGTAATTGAATTTTGCCAGTGGTGGAAGTGGTGGTAGCCACTGTGGCTTCCTTGCTGGGAGAGGGAAGAGAAGGAGGGGGTTTGTAAGCAGTAACTTCAGGAAGGATGCGATAACAGCGGACATACAAAGCCACAGGCTATTGATTGCAAATCTGGCAAGGCTGCAGGCCGTTCTCATTGCAGGCAGGGCACCGCAGGGCCCGATAGGACTCCTTAAATCTGTTGGCCAGCATGGAGAACTTGCTGCCGTGGCACAGAGAGCAGGTGGCACTGCCCGACCCTCGGCAGTGAAAACAGTTGTCCTCGGGAAGCTCCCCTTCCTGCAAGACACAGGGCAGCATTCAGTTAGAGACCACTGTTCAAACACACGTTGAAATAGCACTGGGCTGCCAGAAAGGCAGAGGCAGAACGAGAGCAGAAAATGCTTCCCACAAATGCCAAAGAGGGAACTGACCAGAGGCACACAATTCTCCCTGCAATTTTATCAGAGAGGATCTCCCTGATGGAATCTCTGAGACACCATCCCCCGCTACGATGCCTTGCACTTTGCAGCTTTACGTTCTTCACTGCCCTTGTCACCATCTGACGTGTCATTTCTGTGTGCTCCGTCAGGACAAGGACCTACTTATCCGCATTGCCAAATACTAATAGTGAACAGCTGCAGTGTGCCTAGGTGGTGCGAGGTGCTGTTCTAAGAGCTTTCTTTACGTTAATCCGTACAACACCCCAGTGAGGTGGTGCAAATATTATCATCCTTGCTGCAGATGTGAAAATTGAGACGCTGAGAAGTTCGGTTATTTGCCAATGGTCACACAGCCTTGGAGGAGAGGAGGCAGGTTTTGATTCCAGATGACTGAGCACCAGAGTTCATGCTCTTACTGACTCCATACACAGCCCTTCGCTGTGCCTGTCCAGCAGCAGGCGTTCAAGAGATACTGTTTTTGTGTGACTGGCCGAGAGCCTGAGTGGATGAATGAATCGATGTTACAATCCTTCGAAGCTGAGCTCTGAATTCCTGCAGTACTTTATTTTCTTTGATACCTGTGATAAGGCCTGAGAGAGCAATCATGCACCTTGGGAAGTTCCCTTGACCTCTCTACATCTTTGTTTTTCTTTCCCTGTGAAATGGGAGTAGTAATGCTGACCTCTCGGAGTAGCTGGAATATTAAATGAGAGTGTGAAAAAAACCACAGTTTGTCACCCGGCATATTATAGGTTTTCCACAAAAGTTAATTCACTTCTAAGCCCTGCTAGTGAGTCTTGACTTACTAGTGCTCGACTCCCATCCTGCAGAATATGCCCCTTGTCTACTGCATGTTCCCTCCCTAAGACACCTCAAGGAAACTAGGAACCTTTGCATTTCTGTGCAAAGACTGTGCATAGACCATGAACCTCCCAAGAAATAAGGGGTGGTACCAAATCAATACCAGGTGGATCCAGCACCAAGTCCTATTTCACTTGCAAAACATCTCTCAGATCCATCCAGTTTTCACCACCCACAACCGCAATGCTAGTCCAGATACACACCAACTCTGGCATGAATTTAGTGTGGAGCCCTGCCTCTAGTCTTGTGGGTGGCTCTCCCCAAACCAGACAACAATTATTTGTTTTCAGATGTTGGCTTAGCAGCACTTATCCAGGAAGCCTTGCCTCCCCACACCTCTGGGCCAGGAGTCCTGTCCCACCTGTCCTGCCCCAAGCATGGCAGGCCTCATCTTCTACTGAAAGTTCCTGCTGACCAGACATGAAGCTCTCTGTGCTAGTCCCTGTCACCATCACCTCCAAGACCTCTAGTGCAGTGCCTGGCACAACATGTGCCATTCACATGTTTGCCAGATGAACAAACAAAACGACGATGTCTGGAGAACCCTTCTGATTCTTAAATCCTAGGACCTAACAAGATGGCGGAATCCACTGGGTGGCTCAACCCAGCTAACACAGCTTTCTTTTATAATTTAAGAATAAAAATAATCTTGAAAAGGGTGGCAGGAGTTCAGAAAATAGTTCCATTGTGCTACAAAGTGCCTAAGAAGATACCACATTTTATTCATTCTAGATTTAGGGAATGGAAGTGATCATCCAACCGACAAAAGCCTAAATGTACCCTTTGGTTAATATTTTATTGATTGTGGCCATGTTTTAATACATCAATAATGGAGACACTTGTTTTCTACCCTTAAAGTATTCAAAATAAGTGTTTTTGCCAAAATATTCTTTAAGGAAATGGTCACAGTCCGTTTTTCTGCTAAATCCACATGTTCTTTTTTGTACTTGATCCCAGGGAGATTTTAATGTTGTCAGTGCTGCCAAAGGAAGTATAGCAAATTCCTACCAAAATGCTATACATGTCATCCAAAAATTAATTTGCATACAATGTCAGGTTCAGCTATGAAAAGATTCATGAAATGACCTGGTGCACCTGCTTGCGGAGAACAAAAACAAATCATCGATCAAATTTTATCTAATGTCACGTGGTTGTATGAAGTACTATTAGAAGGCTCCCTGGAATTTCCATTCTTACCCTGGGTTACCACCCTCCTTCCAACCACTTGCTCTCAGCATGTCATTTAATCATTTAATGATTAAATCAAGGGCTACTGAGCCTCTATTCAAGGCAAGAGGGATATAAGCTTCTGTCTTCCATTCTCAGCATTTTTAATCTCCTCTCAGAAAATAATCAGTAAGATGGCTTAGAACATAGTTGTACTGCACAGTGTAGGTCCTGGAGCCGACAGACCTACCCAAACCACCTCTTACTAGCTCCATGGCCAAGGAAAGGGGCCTCAGCTTTCACACTGCAGACTCAAAGGCTTGTGGTAGCCCTGATGATGCTAAGGAGCACCAATCTGGAGACTGCCCAGCAGAGTGGTTAAGATGATAGGACTGGTAGTCAGGTGGTCCAGGGTTTGACCACTGGCTCTGATAACCTCTGGCAAGTTACTTAACTTCTCTGTGCCTTAGTTTCCCCAGCTCAAGAGTGTGACTGCTAACAATCACTACCTCACAGAGTCCTTGTGAGAATGAAGTAGACTGATGCATAGAAAGCACTGGGCATGGTGGTTGGCTATCACAGGCCCTCAATAAATGACAGTTGTTGTCACTGTTGTCGCCTATTTCAAAGGCAAGAGCACAGAAGGCATAAAGAAGTCCGGATGAGTTACGGTCTCAAATCCACCGAACATACGGCCAGATTTTTCCCCTTCCATATTTCACTGTGGCTCAATTCAATTATTGCTCTCCTTTTCTTTTACGGTGAATACAGACGGTCAGCATGGCCTGGCCGTTAGCCTTGCCTTGCTCTTTCATCAAGGTTCCCACTGCTTCCCTGCTCCATATAACACAACAAAGGGTCTCCTGGTCAGAAGGGGCGCCTTGATGTTCTCTGACCCTCTTTTTTAAAATAAAACCTGGCTGGGCATTTATTGCATGAGGGATTTGGCAAACAAATAGCAATTTAAAACAGAGTTTAAAAGACAGGCAAGTGAAGTATAACCTTTCACGACAACTCTGCTGCACGCCTCTGTCCTAGTTTGTGGTATTACAGCCAGAAAACATGGATCTCTCCAAATTGAATTTACAGATAATTGTCATGTCAGGCCTGTTGTTGCTTTTTTTTTTTTTTTTTTTTTTTTTCAGGCCAGAAGCGTGACCTGCATTTTGTCATTCCTGGCTCCTTTCTGAAAATATATGCTCCTACAAATTACAAAACGGCTTGAAAAAGAATAGAATTAATGAATTTTAAAGTGGGGAGGTAATGCTTCGGATCACAATGTTCAGTAATCTGCCTGCTGCTAAGCTGGGTTCTGAATAGTGCTATGTAAAAGGCAAGAGAAGGCAGAAGGACGATACTTCCTTACCAGCTGGCACTCTGGTCCCAAATTCCAATATTCTCTCCACAAATATTTCACTAATATGCACTGTGCGCCTACTCTGTGCCAACCTGTATTTTCATTCTTATTGTTGTGCCACTGGAACTACTATACCAAAGCCACATAAACATGGCCCCAGCCCTTGTACAGACAAAACTCTAGTGTGTGACAGCAAACATTAACCAAATAACTACACAGAGAAATTGAAGACTGCAACTGAGGAGGGGTGTGAGGTACTCTGAGGGGTCTATCCTCTGAGGAAGTGATGTCTCCACTTTCAGATGCTAAGGGGAAGGGGGTGGGGAATCTGGAGAACATTCTAAGCAGAGGGAAGTTGCCTCTGCTAGGAAAGGGCGAAGAACATATGAATGGTAGCTAGATGGGCAGTGTGTCTGGGACAGAGAGAATGAGGAGAGATGTGTAAGAGGAGAATAAACAGGCCGGGAGGGTCCAGGCTATACAACGTTTTCTACAACAAGTCAGAAGGTTTGGTTTCATTCCAAGGGATGAGATGTCACTTAAAGTTTGGGGTGGGGGAAGAGAGTGATGAAGGGGTGACATGATCATATTTGCATTTCAAATATATCTTATCTAGTGTGAGATCATGTGGGAAAGAGACATGAGTCGTTGTGAGCAGAACTTTAATAAGAGTCTTTTGTTAGAGTGTGGTCATGACTTTCTCATTCCCATCCTCTAAACCTTGCCAGGGTGGGGATATCACTCAAGTACGAGGAAGCCGCTGGCTCACTGCGTCACACCAACTCATGGGAGGTGAGAGTAAGTCCCACAGAAAGCTTCAGCTCCCAAGAGATGGAATCTGAAGAGAGAGAAAATTCATTTCTGCTGCTATCCAAGCTTTTACTCTCTTAGCTTAAAACCATCAAACTTGCTTTAACCACTCCCAACCCCACACTGTGAACTAATGAATATCATCACTCTACCCCCTCATCTGAGCATGTCTAAGCAACAGTTTCCAAGGTGAAGAGGGCACACCTCTGAGGAGTGTGGGAAGAAAAAAAATTCTAACTATTTATATTTACTTTTTATCTTTAAAAAGCAAGAAATTAAGCGTCAATAATATCTTCAAAATAAACCATTATACTAATTTTTAGTAAACTAGTTGACACTGGCACCTTAAATAGGTCAGGCAGTGACCAAACATGGTACCCAGGGGACCCTAGAGTAAACATGACGTAAAGTGACCTCACTGCATCCAAAGTGACAATGGTGTCCCAGCTCACTCATTCGCTTTGAGCATTTTGCAACATACTGAAGTTCTCTTGTCCCTGGTCTAGAAGACTTAGAGACAATATGGCTTAATTTCAACTCAACTAATCTCTACAAAACTGGACACATGTCTTCATAAGATCTCTTCAAGGAAACTGGATTGAGGATAAACCAGTAAGATAAACACAAGCAAACCCATTAAGAAAAAGAACAGAGCTGATTTTTTCCATCTCTGGAACAAGCTGTTCTTTGCCACATTGCAGAGTGAAAACAATTAATACCTAATTGGATCTCAAAAGAAGTCATCAGAAAAAAAAAAAAAACTGTGTGTACTTGAAATATGTACATAACTATTTTGCTAATCACTTACCATTAAAATATAATAATAAAGTTAAAATTCTTGAACATCTTTAACAGTTAGACATCTTAAGTATTTACATTCAAGTTTTTTCTGAAGTATTGCAAAGATCAAAACCATGTGGAGACCACTGCTGTAGGGCCAGCTCCAAGTAGGACAGCGAACCATTCTGACACACCTGTGGGTACTGGTTATGGGGGAATGTGCTTTCCGTGTCTGGCAAATGCCCATCATTCAGGCCGCTGTCTCCACAGATTTCTTCTTTGCTCATCAGAGACTCCTCCTCGGCCTCCTCTTCCTTCTGGAGCATTTTCCGCATGAAGTCTCTCTTGTCCATTGGGGTTCGGATGATTTTCAGGTTGTTCGTGTAGATGATTATCTTTCCAAAATCTATAATAGGTGGGGACTAGAGAAATGGAGAATGAGCATGGAGATTTAACACCGATCACCATATACAGGGCTGCAGAAACCGTTCAACATCCCAGGCAACAGGAGAGAAGGACCTTGTAACCATCTAGCATTTATGATTCCAACAGACCCCAAAGCTACAATTCACTCCCTGGTTTGTTCGCTCTCTCTAAAATCCTTAAAACCCAGATTCCTTCCCCCTGTTGACGGTAACCAAGCAAAGCTGAACTAACTGTATAACTGGGACTGCAGGGTGGGAGCCAGAACTTCTATTCCCACTACATACAGCAGTAGCTGATGCAGGGATGCACACAGAAAGAGTTTAATAAATACAGAAGAGGGCTTAAAAAAATAAACAGCTCTCCAAAATTGTTATGCATAAATAATAATAGATAAAATTTACTGATTATCATTATTTGATTATAGTGGATAGCATTTATTTTGTGTCGGGCACCACGATAAGCATTTACAAACATTACCTCACTTTCCCCTCAAGCATCCCTTGAGGCGGATGCTATGATTTCTACATCTTACCGATGAAGAGACTGAATCACAGTGAGGTAAAGAGGCTCCCAAGGTTACAGTTAGTCAGGGTCTGTGGCTGGGATTCGAACCCCAGTGTGTTTAACTCTAAAGTCCATATTCTCAACACCTACCCTGCACTATTCACAAGCATCTTCTCTCCAAAAAACCTGTAAGATTGTTATGTATATAATGATCTTATGTAAATACATAATATATAATGATCTTATATATGTGCAATCATCTTACATATATGTAATGTTTTTATTAATTGTACAATACAAAAGTCTTTTAATGTCAAAAAATATACTTCTATAGCATTTTTTTTTTTTTTAAGTAGGCTTCAGGCCCAGCGCAGAGCTCAATGCGGGGCTTGAACTCATAACCCTGAGATCAAGACCTGAGCTGACATCAAGAGTCAGATGCCTAACCAACTGAGCCACCCAGGGACCCTGTGGCATCATTATCAATAGCTCACGTTCTTTGTATAGATTTATCATGTATTACTTGAAAATTAGCTGAGGAATAATTGAGACAATACTACAACAACGCAGTAAGGAAGTGTGGGAAGTAAATGTTTAGGGATTATTAACTAAGAACACATATTGCCTCCCAGAGCTAGGATAGCTTGGAGGGAAACAACACCAGATCTCAATTCCGCTGTTCACCAACTGTGAGATTTAAGAGAACCACGTGACCTCTCAGAACAGCAGTTTGCTCCTCCACAAATGGGGTGACATCTGACTGATGGGGTTCACTGATGGGCTTCACCACAGACAAAGTTATTATCAAAACAGAAGAATACTTTGATACTGGGTGGTAAGCAGGTGCTGTCCTGAGACTCCTGAGCGCCCTCCTGTTACCCACAGTTCTCTTCAGGGAACCTCTCACATCCCCTAAACCCAGTAATGCAGTAGTCGTTGCTCAGAAGTCCACGTTTCAGGACCCTGCCCCAATATTCTGCTGGCTTCTGTGCTGATTGGGCAATGTCCCTGTGGTTAAAGATTCGGACTCCCATCCCTAAGGCTAATTATATCAATTTCTAGGGGTAGGGGTGCAATGAAGAGTATATAAGACAGGGTTTCCAAAAGCTAAAAATACTATATACTGGTGGGCATTGTTAACATCGCTAGTATTTTTTTTTAACGTTTATTTTTGAGAGAGAGATAGACAGAGCATGAGCGGGGAGGAGCAGAGAGAGAGGGAGACACAGAACCTGAAGCAAGCTCCAGGCTCCGAGCTGTCAACACAGAGCCCGACGCGGGGCTCGAACCCACGGACTATGAGATCATAACCTGAGCCGAAGTCAGACGCTCAACCAACCACTCTGAGCCACCCAGGCGCCCCTAACGTTGCTAGTATGAAAAACTGTTCATTGGCAGTCCACACACAATCATGCTACACAGCTAAATACCCCAACGTGAAATCCTCTGCCCCCCCCTTATACAACGGGAGAAACCAAATCTACTTAGATGCCACAATTAAGCAGTCTCCTCTTTACAACCCTAACGCATTCAGTCACAACCTGGCTTAAACAGGACTTCAGTACTCAGGCCCCCTTCCTTGAAACACCTGCAGAGTTTTCAATCATTATTTATGAAGCCACAAGCTTCCTACTTGGGCCTGTTTTCTCTCCTTCTCTTCAAGGGATCGTGTGGCAGCTTCCATTTCCTATTGTTTGATTCTTACTGGGCTCCTGTTTCACACTCTGGACTATCAGTTTCTGAACATCAGAAGATAAAGATGGTGGCACTTCTGGAAGGTTCCATTTCCACTTCCACTAATAGCCAAAGAGGTTCAATTACTAGGGAACTTTTTTTCACACATAGAACTGGTTTTCTTGGGGTGAAACCCTTTATAGTATGTTGAAAAAAAAAGTCTGTGGTCGTAGGGTCCAACCTCCTGCCTCTAACCTGGTCAATATGTGAGACACCAAAGATTGTAAATTTATTTTTAATGTACTCCAAAGAAGCAGGGTCCCAAATCACCTTTAAGGTGTGTTTAAGTTTCAGTCACCCTGACAGCCAAGTTCTTCCTTGTGTCTAAGGAAACGCTCCGGGTGTAACTAAAGTTCACGTTATCTGGTTACACCCAATTGCCCGTGAGAAACACCCACTCTTCCATTACAGAGGGCCATGAGGAAGCCAGGAATTTTTTTGTTTCCTTCCATAGTGCCCAGAACGGCAACTTATGGGACTGAGCTTCATAAATGCCCTTGACAGTGGCAATGTGCCTGCAGATTGCTCTTCAGACACCACGAAACCTTTCTGTGGCTCTGCGTTTAAATGCGGGGACACCTTCCTGGGTCCTAGAAATGCAATGGGCTTTGGAGGCAGGCAGGCCTAAGGCGAATTTTTCTGTGCAAGATTTGCAAGTTACGAAACTCCTGTGCACTGTTTCTCCAATTTGTAAGAATCTTTCTCAATGAATTACTGTGAAGATGAAATAACATAATATATACAGAGTATATGTTTAGTAAATGCCATTTCCCTCCCTTTCCCTTCCATTTTTTTTAAAGGAACCTTATAAAACTTCAGTTGGTTTCAATTCTTTAAAATATTTAGTTGTTTATAACCACTTTCTCTTTCTCTATCCCATAAAACTTTTTACAAAGACTCAGTATTTCTTTGATAGGAACCTGGTCATTATCACAATGGTAGGGAACATTAGCTAAGCTCATCCAATGTTTCAGGCATAATGCTAAGTATTTCTTACATACAAACTTTTTTTAATCACCACAACAATCTTCATAAGTAGATACTTTTTTTAAAGTTTATTTATTTATTTTGAGAGAGAGTATGCGCATGCAAGCGAGGGATGGGCAGAGAGAGAGAGAGACAGAGACAGAGACAGAGACAGAGAGAATCCCAAGCAGGTTCTGCACTGTTAGCACAGAGCCCAATGCGGAGCTTGAACTCACGAACCATGAGATTATGACCTGAGCCATAACCAAGGGTTGGATGCTTAGCTGACTGAGCCACCCAGGTGCCCCATAAATAGGTATTTTTATTACTCTCATCTCATAGACGATAACATTAAAGCTTGGCAAGACTAAGTGGTTTGCTTAAGCTCCCACAGTAAGTAGGCAGAGTGGACAAAAAGCCCAGGTCTAACAGACATCAGAGCCCCTGTTTCTTAATTATTATTTTTACTGTGGTAAAATATATTACATAAGATTTACCACTTGAACCATTTCTAAGTGGACAGACAGGTCAGTGGCATTGGTACATTCACACTGTTGTGTAACCATTACCACCAACAATCTCCAGAGCTTTTTCATCTTCCCAAACTGAAACTCTGTGCCCATTAAACACTCACCTCGCCCCTCCCCCAGCCTCTGGCAACCACTGCTCTACTTTCTGTCTCTATAAATCTGATTGCCCTAGGCACCTCATATAGGTGGAATCATATAATTATCTTTTTATGACTAGTTTCTTTCCCTTAGCACAAGGTCTTGAAGTTTCATCCATGTTGTAGCATCTGTCAGAACGGCCCTCCTTTTTAAGGCTAAATAATATTCGCCTGTGTGTATATATCACATTTTATTTGTCTATTCATCTACTGGTGGACATTTGGGTTGTTTCCACTTGTGAGCAATTGTGAATACAGCAGCTGTGAACATTGGTGTACAAATATCTGTTCAAATTCAGAGCCTTTACTTTTAATTGTTGTAGTTAACTGCTGCCCAGTGTTGCTTCACAGCCAATATTTACTAGGGTTATTTTACAACTGGGTTCACTGTTGAAAAATCATGGCTTTCCAGCTCTCGTTTCCTTATTTTTCATGAATACCACACTGACAACCTGTTTCAGTGGGTGGAGCTGCAGGAATCTGTCCTGATCCCCCTCTAACCCAGAGGCTGGCTAAGATTAGCAGGTAGCACTGGATCAGGCAACAAAGAAAACAAGGATAACTGGATCATGCAGGAAACCAGGTGAACAGGAATCAAACTCTGAACATGGTCTCCAGCGTACTGTGTTTAAACCAATGGTGCAGCACTCCTATGAAAACTCAGTTATCTGGCTTTATAAGTCCTTACCAAATCATACATTTACATACATGCCAGGTTTGACACATGATCTGTGAAGCGGTCCAATATTCTCCACCATAGGCTTATACAAGGTTTGTATAAACTACAACTTTGTAGTCTAAACCTACAAATAAGATTCAGTTTAAAAGAGATACTGTAAGTACAAGATATAGCCAAGAAGCTACGATATGATAAGCACTCAGTAAATGGCAACTATTACTATTAACGTCATCATTATGATTCATGACCTTATTCTCTAAAAAGGAGCATTCCATGGGGCGCCTGGGTGGCGCAGTCGGTTAAGCGTCTGACTTCAGCCAGGTCACGATCTCGTGGTCCGTGAGTTCGAGCCCCACGTCGGGCTCTGGGCTGATGGCTCAGAGCCTGGAGCCTGTTTCTGATTCTGTGTCTCCCTCTCTCTCTCTGCCCCTCCCCCGTTCATGCTCTGTCTCTCTCTGTCCCAAAAATAAATAAACGTTGAAAAAAAAAATTAAAAAAAAATAAATAAATAAAAAGGAGCATTCCAGAGGGTCAAAAGCGTGAGGCATCAGAAGAGCTGGGTTCTTATTCTGACCGTGTACCTAATGACCCTCTAATACTGGTAGATCCCTTAACAACTTGGCACTCAATTTTACTCATCTGCAAAATGGAAATGCGCATATTTTGCCTTTCTCCTCAAAGTTGTGCTGAAGACCCAATGGAAAAGTATATTACTCGGAGATCATGAAGAATGAATTCTTGCCATTTGCAACAATGTGGATGGAACTAGAATGTATTATGCTAAGCAAAGTCAGTCAAAGAAAGACAAATATCAGACGATTTCACTTATATGTGGAATTTAAGAAACACAACAGATGAGCATAGGGGAAGGGAAGGAATAATAAGAGAAAAGCAGAGAGGGGCAAACCACAAGAGATTCCTAAATACAGAAAAAAAACTGAGGGTTGTTGAAGGGGAGGTGAGTGGGGGGGATGGGCTAAATGGATGATGGGCATTAAGGAGGGCACTTGTTGGGATGAGCACTGGGTGCTATGTATAAGTGATGAATCACTTTGTTCTGCTCCTGAAACCAACACTACATTGTACATTAACTAACTTGAATTTAAATATTTTTTTTAAAAAGTATGTGTTATTGCTTCATAATGTCTAAGTTACTGCACTAACATGAGGGGTTGTTCACTCCAGATCCCTTCGTTATCAAAAAGAAACCTGGTATTATCTTTGATAAATGTGGACTGCCCATAACTTCACTTTCACCAAGGCCAGAAAGGCCAATGCATTTGTCTGCCAGAGATGAATTATCTGTTCCCTTTGAAACTAACAATAAAAATGATTAGAGAGTAATTATCTGAATTTCACACATTAAAGATGAGAGCATATCCTGGTGTACTATTCATTAATGACCTGGCACATTAGATAACTGTATTTAATCTTAAAGAAAAAAAAAAGGCATTCACAATCCCATCGGCAAACATCCACACATCTCTTCATTTTTGGAAATCAGTGAATATTTTCCAAGCTCTTCTAGCTTAAAAGAAAATCGTGTATGTGCTTTTGATTATCCATGGTACTGGCAAAGATAATTGAATTAACAGACAAAATACAGGTTTCAACTGAACTACTAGCTCAAACTTCTTCCCCATGTAACATTTCCTCTGCTTGACTTGCTTTTCACCATTTCTTCCCGGGACTCCAACCACTCAGTGTTCATGCTAACACACAAGGGAAAGGCAAAATAAACAAACAAACAAACATTTTTTAAAAGCAGGCAGCAGGAGGGAGAGAGGAAATAAAACAAGACAGGGATAAACCACAAGCTGAATAATTGGCTGGAGTAAAATGAGCACCTTCAAACACTCGGCTCTTTCTGGAAACAAAACAGCCAGTTGTCACATAATTTTCTAAAACGGCAGTCTGGCAACCTGAAAACCACTGCATCTCTATTAAATTTACTTACCGAGATAACCCAGCGAATGACCCAATTACAATTTACTACCCTGGATGGAAGGGAATACTATGTACGCTTACTGCACTTTCCAATAAGTAGTCAGCAAGCATGTTATTTTTGTTCCAGAAATATTATTCCAACAGTGGCTTCCCATTTGGTGCACCTACAGCTCTGGTTGGTACTGGAGCATGAGCTATGTACAAATTTGAATCAGGCATTTTTCTATACACATTTTAGTCCTTAAAGTTTACACATCATGCACAATACCAACCTTATGGTCATTCGCCTTGTAATCATTGAAGAAAGACTGGCCGCCCGCCAAAGTGTAGGCATTGCCCTCTCTAAAAACGCTGATCCTCTGAGCAGTCAGCTTAGGGGAGTATGGTCGGGGCTTGGGGGCCTCCCCAGACCCGTAAATGCCATCCATTGGTTCAAGGGACTCTTGGAGAAAACTGTGAGGGTATTCCTCCTTTGGCGACTCTAATTCCTGCCCATCCTCAAAGACCTGCTTCAACACTCTGCCACTGTAGGAGGAGGAGATTTTAAATCGTACTTTCCGTGGTTTGCCGTCACTCTTCTGGTTTAGCTTCTTCTCGGAGTCCTCCATCAGTAGAAATTTCACCCTGTGGTTTCCTGGCTTCAGCGTAGCCAGTGAAACTTGGGGCTCTGAGAAGAAGGCATTTTATTTTCTCTCCTCTTGCATATAATTAATTCAAGTTGGTGCTGGGGTATGCTCAGTTTACAGCAACTGACACCCACACATTAAATATTGACAGATCCTCATGCAAAGGCAGGCGATTGTGGGTTTATGGAGTAGAGAGAGCACAGCATAAGACAAGATTGGGTCCCCTTTGATCCCAAATTCCCCAATAACTTCAACCAAACCCTGGCTTTTCCTAACCTGAGCAATGGTTAAATTTATATAGACTGAACAAAGTACCAATTCAACAAGGGTTAGTTACACCATCAGCTAGCAAGTGTCTTAATATTCTTACCAACTACAATGACCTAGCGAGTATTTAATAGGTACCAGAGATTTTTACACACATTGCCTTATTTTGTCCTCCCCATAAGCCATTGGAAGTATAATTATCCCTGTTTTACAGAGGGGAAAGAGAGGCCCAGAACCGTTTCCTCATGTGTCTACTCCATTGCAGCTAGGTAAGAGACAGAGCAGGGATCAGAACCTAGTTCTGACTCCACAACCAACAGCCAGTCCACTAAGCCAAAAGTTTTCAAACTGTGTCTCATGGAGCCCTAGACGGGAGGAAACTACAGATCCTAGGTTCCAGGCCTTCTACTCCGGCATTAACCAGAGCAGCTACACTTCATTTTTATTTTATATTTAAGATTTCAATTGCAAGGACAGCACTAGGCCCCATTGCCTATGGCAGACAACATGCAGTAAATGCCTGTCACTGTGCAACAGTCACTGAGAGGAATATCAGGGCAGTATGAGATGTGGGGCTTGTGAATGAGAGTCCTGCACTCTAGTTTAGGAAACAGACCTAACATATATGAAATAACAGCCTCCTGCTGGCGGCAAACTGTCCACTGCTGTCTCCTAGAATAGATATTCTGGGGAGAGGGTGGTCCCTAAGGAGACAATGAGCGGAAGAAGGAATGAACGGAGTCTAAAAGGATGGCTTGGATTTGAAAAGCTGAAATGGTGGGGGGTTGAGACTTTCTCCTCCTCTTTGTTGATGATTTCATCACTTACTCAGTTGTCCAAACTGATTTGTCTTGTATTCCTGCAGCCATCCCTATGGATTCTATCGCCACTGCCTTCCTTCATCCACTCCCACCACCATGACCCTAGGTCAAGCCCTCATCACTTCTGTTTTCAAGATGGCAACAATCTCCTAATGACTTCCCCACCCATCCATTCTCCATATTGATGCCACAGCCATGTTTAAAAAAAAAAACTATCTACAGATGTCAGTCTCCTACATAAAAAGTCTTAACCTAATTTTGCAGCAGGCAAAACTCAAAACCTGTCCCTTCACTTGCACCCTCGTCCTCTGTCACTCTTCCAGGTGCTGCCTGTAATTGGTGGTCTAGGCACACTGACAAGCTCACCTACTTCTTAGAACCACGGGTTTCTGTCTCTTATTCAGTGCTCTATTTCCTGTTTGAAATGCCATACTTCTACTTCTCCTTCAAGCTACACATCAAATGTCACTCCTTCTGGGAACTCTTCCCACTTGCCCCAAGTCTAAGGCCATGGAACTTTGGACTGACCACCATTAAGCGCTTCTTACCTACTCTTACCATTCCTGTGTCTCCCTGCACTGAACTGTAAATATCTTAGAGTCAGAAACAGTCTTTACTTCTCTATCCCTGGTGTTTACCAAAATAACTGGCACATAAGAGAACTCAGTAACTGTTGAATGTATGACTCCCAGGCAAGAAAAATCAGGTAAGTCAAACTTTTGGAACAGGAGTTGAGCATACTTCATGTGGAATACGTAGGATCAGGGGCGCCTGGGTGGCTCAGTCGGTTAAGCGGCCGACTTCAGCTCAGGTCATGATCTCGCGATCCGTGAGTTCGAGCCCCGCGTCGGGCTCTGTGCTGACAGCTCAGAGCCTGGGGCCTGTTCCAGATTCTGTGTCTCCCTCTCTCTGATCCTCCCCCATTCATGCTCTGTCTCTCTCTGTCTCAAAAATAAATAAGCCTTAAAAAAAATTAAAAAGAATATGTAGGATCAGAAAGTAGTCGAGAAAGACATTTATATTTCCACTAAGGAGGGGTTTCACAATGATCAGGTCCTGTGTAATCAATGCAAGGAACAAGAAACACACACACACACACACAAAGAGAAACACCATTGTTAAAAAAGAAAGATGTGCTCATCATAACATCAGAATATACATTCCTCTAGGTTTCCTAGGGTGCAGAGCTGGCCCTGATGTACCATGAATGCACCCGTAGCCTCCTGTAGGAGGCTGATACATGGGTCCCTCAGCCCTCAGGACAACCAGGTAGGGCCTCAGGCTTCTAGGTAGTCATCTCTGACTACATTAGCCTCATTCATTTATTCCAGCATATGGAATGAATATCATTATATTATATTATCTCAGAAAAAAAGAGATTTGAATCAAGTAGCACCAAATTAGAAGTGGTTAGTAGGAGTGCTCCACCAACAGGAGCACCAAATAGAGAAAAGACAGAAGTTGGAAAATTATTGATTGGCTTTTAGCGACTGGTTGTCCTTAGTGCTTTGATTTCATAACCATTAGGCATTTACAGGCTTAGATTGTGGGTTACACGGCTCAGGCAGGCTGCCACAGCACTAGAGCCACAGCGGTTTGATGGCCTCCCTGTGTAATTAATTTAGCAGTTCCTCCATTTTGGTCACACTCTTATACACGAGAGATTGACCAAACTTCTGGTATTCATGCTCTCAGTTACCACCAAAACTGAGTGGCTCTGGTCTCATTGTGAAACTCAAAGGGAAAGACATCAGATCTGGGGAAGGATTGTTTTTGTGTTCCTCTCATTGTTCATCTTGTTTCTGTTTCTCCAAGTGCAGTGAGACCATCTGATGTACTGCTGATGGCTGCAAACATGCCCTTAAGACCTCTTGGAGAACACAGCACACAAGGGAGACTGAAGTGCTAACTATCAGGAGGATAACACCAAGAGACTTAAGTCTACTCATTAGCCAGGGCATTCATGAACTAAACCAGCTGGTATCAAATAAATGACAAAATGTACCTAAAAGGGCATCAACCTATTTTGGCCAAGCAGCATATTTATTAATTTCTTGTATTTGGTATAATACCAAAAGTATTGATTCAGCAATTAACAGCAGGAGTTAATTGCTATGGCACGGACTCCTCTTTGCTCAGCCAATAAGCAATCTAAAGCAATTCTATTATCTAAAACCACCTTAGCAGGAAAGTTAAGGGACTTTTGTTGTGCAGCTGTGGCCTGATTGGTAAAGTCAGTGATAGTCACCAGAATTAAGAAGCATTGTCCTCCCGTGCATTAATAGAGAGAAAAAAAAAGCAGTAAAAAAGCAAAAAGAGTAAAGTTTTAATGCTGGAGATAAAGGTCTTGATCTGTGAACATGGGAGAGCTGTCCACTCAAGATGCTGTCTGCTTCTGGGAAGTAAACTCCCTCGTCAACTTTAAGTTTAGATCTCTAGCTGGTGTGCAGTTCCAAGAATCTGGAGGACTCCCCCCTTTAAAAAAAAGTTTGTTTATTTATTTTGAGAGAGAGAGAGACTGTGTGTGCATGCGTTCATATGCGCACACAAACGGGCAGGGGCAGAGACAGAGAGAGAGAAGAAAGAGAATCCCAAGCAGGTTCCAGGTTCTCAGCGCAGAACCCAACATGGGGCTCGATCCCACAAACTGTGAGATGACCACCTGAAGCTGAAAACACAAGGTGGACACTTAACCTACTGAGCCACCAAGGTGCCCCTGGAGGAGACCTTTTTAACAGGGAGATGTGGACCCAAGATTCAAGTTCCTGAGGTTTGACTTGTATGTGGGTAGTGCAGAAGACCAGATATGGTCTCTTCCAAGGAGAGTTCAAGGCAGTCTTTGTTATTACTGATTCCAAATCAGAAGGATGGGAGATAATTGGAAACTTTAGACCGGAGAGTTGTAGCCAGTAGAATTCAGGATCCACTTCAGTTTATAGGTATATAACAAAACCTCAAAGACAATGAACAAGACTAGAATCTGATGTCTGCAAGTTTGTGTACAATTTCCAATAAAACAATTTTTTTCCTCTACAGTCACCCTCATCTCTATCAAAGATCAACACACTAAGACTAATTTGTTTGCAAAATAAGTCTAGTCTCATTACATTTGGACTAATTATTTACATAAATGCAGCAAGCATAGTAATCAACCATATAGGTTCTTTTTAAATCTGCTTTGAGGGACCTTTTCTTAATGAAGCTTAGATTCGACTGTTAAAAGCCTCTCCAGACTAAGAAACCAAGCCAAGAACTCACCATCAGACTTCACCTGGAACACTTACAGATTTGCATGAATTCTTGTCTTTTAAGGCTGTCCTAAGGGCTCCCAAGGGGCTGCCAGGGAGCAACCTCCTTCACCCAGCTGGTAAGTCTACAGAAAACCCTTAAGCAAGTTAATCAGGCTAGTTTTTCCAAGGGGCTTTTATTGGCTGCATAAGTCATCTTTGTTCCTTCAAACTGTCTGGTTATATGTGATGGTATACATATTCTCAAATATGACATTCCAGTCAAAGATTTGGTAATACAACCAGTGTTTGCAACTGTGTCCTGTTATAAGGAGAACATTTTCTACTGAACTTATGCAAATAATTATACTGCCATTAAAATAAGAATACTCAATAGGTTTCTGAATTCTGGAGGGATCAGATAAAGAGTAAAAGTAAATGTTTCAATTCTGTTTACAAAGGCATACTTTACAAAATTACTCTAAGTCATACAGAGCTTAAGAAAAAGATAAAAGGCTTTCCTTAAATCTGGAAGAAAAAGAAAACCTTAAGGAATCAGCAAAGTTTCAAGGAACAGTTGTAAAAAAAAATTATAATCATTCTCATCAATTCATTTAATCCCATGTAATTAACTCTTGTTCTGCTTGACTCCAGTTTTTCCATTAGTTCTGGATATTCTTACTCAGTTCAGTTTTATGATCTTAAAGTTATCAGAAACCTATATTCTAGAACTCTTTCCATGAATCT